TGTGAACCATGGAGGGAGGCGGGGCAGGAGGCACTCTGCGCGGGCATGTCCTCCTCGGCCACAGCAGCAAGAGTGTCCGCTCTCCGCTTCCTGTCACCCGAGGGGAGACGAGCGCAGTGCATGCTACCTGCTGGTTTAGAGCCGCGTACGCATGCTCGGATTCGCATACTGCTTTTATCTCTGCAGGTCATAACTCATTATGAACCCAGAGCCACATAGGGACAAAAAAAAGAGGGAGCAGATTGCCGGGCCTCCTTCCTATTTATACCGGAAGGAGGCCCGAGGGTGGGGCCCACCTTGCGGGTGGGCGTGGACTACAAGTGTTTCAGTGCTGCACGGGTGCACAGGGGGATAACCCAATAGTGATAGCCTTAGAGGGCGAAGCCATATACGAAATAGAACAGCCGGTGTTTCTCGTGAGTGTTTTCCCCGGGAAACAAACGCAATACACACAAACGAAAAAATACACAAACACACACGCATATACACGCGGAACACTGTACAAATCCCGTTTCAATAATTCCCCTCTATTCTAAAGTCGCATCTAAAACGCGATCTGATCTAGCTGTGTATATTTTGTTATTTTTTATTGTTATATATATGTTCAATCTCATTAGCTACATTTTTTAAGCTTGTAAAGGGAAGACCACAGCTCGCCTCTCACTGGCCACACTGCTCTTCCGCAGCGCCGCTCCCCCTCCCTCCCGCGGAAATTATGAATGTAAGGCATATAGTAATCATAGATAACATGGCAGGGTCCGTTACAGTTTGTTTTCATCTGATTTCAAATGAACAAAGTCTTGGCTTTCAGAATATTAAACTTTGTTTCGGCAAATTCAGATGATAAATACAGGTTTGAAGCTTGTAACGGCATAATTACAAGCGGAGAACGGAGTAACTTAACGTCACAACAGGCATAACAACAGCCGGTGTTTCCCGTGAGTGCAGTAATCCAAACGAAAATATCTTCCCTCCGTAGTATTTGGATCATTTGCTCCGCTAATAATCAATCAGATCGATGCATTCCAGAGAACATAAAACTTTAAAGGCCTTTTTCTCAAAATGATTACTCTGTAACAGTCATTATATAATGTGACATATTTTGCTTAATATTTGGAGTACAAAAACAATCCTGATATTATTAGAAAGCTAGGAATCAAAATGTGTCTTCGGGTCAATGCGACTGATTTCGATGGAGCAGGTCACTTTGCATTAGGTAAAATAAAGCAGGCAGACATAACAGGGAGAATATGTACATTTTAATCCAATCAAATAGGACATTGTCACACCATTCAAATGTATCCATGTAAATTACAACCAATAAAAAAGCTTAGATTTGTTTATTTGTTACGTTGTTTACTTTATTTGTTACGTTGTTCTGTGTGTGTCAGCCGTTAACCTAGAGATAGAAAGAATAGGCCTATATACACTTGCAAACATGTCAGAAGAACCAGCGCAGAAGAAAACTAAATTCAGTCAATCTAAACTTAAATTTAACAACTGGAAGGTCACATCCCTGACATCCACATCTCCGGAGCCTGGACCTTCTTCAAACAGCGAAGCCAGATGAACCCAAAAGCAGCAGCTCTGTGGCCGCAGAAACTGTCCCAAAGCTTGCCGCTGTATTTACTCCCTCCATCTGACAGGAGGGAGCCTCATGTGTCACTCCACGGAGTTCACTCCGTCACGGAGGGGGAGTGAGTAGGGGTAGGGTGTAGGGCGTGGTTTGGGATTGGGCCACTTGTTTTGGCCCCCCCACTTCTAAAATGAATCCGGCGCGCCTGCCCTGCAGAGCTTCACTTCATGTCCCCTGTCTCTGGAAATGTGATGTCAGACCGTCTGTGGGTCTGGACCATCTGGATGCTGTGGACTTGATCAATGAAATCGGAAAGACACCTAAAATGAACCCAATCCCCTCTGACCCGCTGTCTCTGCTGACACCTTGTAGGGGGGCAAGGCAGATACAAGGATACGGGGAAACTCTGGGGGCCGGGTGCCACGGCGGAGAAACTCTGGACGACGGGCAGGAGGGCTGCGGAGACCCCGATGGGACCCATCCTGTTGCCCCGATGGGACCCATCCTGTGGACCCGATGGGACCCATTCTGAGGCCCCGATGGGACCCATTCTGTGGGCCCGATGGGACCCATTCTGAGGCCCCGATGGGACCCATCCTGTGGACCCGATGGGACCCATTCTGAGGCCCTGATGGGACCCATCCTGAGGCCCCGATGGGACCCATCCTGTGGACCCGATGGGACCCATTCTGAGGCCCTGATGGGACCCATTCTGAGGCCCCGATGGGACCCCTCTTGAGGCCGGATGGACAGCCCTGGGAGCACTGGGGGAAAAGGAGTCAGGAGGACCGCAGGAGCAGGAGACAGTCGGGCAACAAGCTCTTTAGCCAGGGCTTATTAGCTACCTCCATCCGTGCCATTTGGAGGGCAGCATCTTTGACCTCAGACCCTCCTCCAGTCTTCAAAAACACATTTAGAGTGTATTTTAATTCATACAGCTCTTGGTCACAGACAAAAACAGCTGGGTCCATATCTTGGTCGGTTCGTACTGTCAGGAGCAGGGGGTAATCAGGACCCAAATGTAGAAAAAGTATAAACAAAAAGCGAGCTTTATTAAATAAAAATCTGTTCCAAAAAACACTAGAAAAATGTACGAGCAGGAATGCTCAACAAAGGATCAAACCAGGGAGACTTGGAGACACCGGACCGCAGACCTGCCTATAGAAGTGTTCCACAAGTTGAGCTAAATAAATGTTTGTAGGTTAAAAGCCGACCGGCTTTTACTCAAAGTGTAAAAGGGAGGATTTCTTTGGTACAGAATTGGACCTGTAGGATCACTGTTATGCCCGAAGGCAGACTGTTGACAGAAATCAAGTCTATAATATAGTATAATTCAAACAAAAGTGTTTCCTGTGACTGTGAGCTTTAAGTTCCCTTTGCTGAGTCGACTGAACTGCTCCTATGATTTGTGTGTTTCACTGATGTGAGCTGCGCTGTGCTCTGTCCTGCAGAGGCTGGCGGTGTGCCTTGAAGAGTCCATTTATATCCACAACATCAAAGACATGAAGCTGCTCAAGACTCTGCTCAACACTCCGTCCAACCCCTCAGGTGAGAGAGTGGACTGAACCAAGTCCATTCAGGTTTATTAAAACTGCTCTTGTTGTCAATAGTGAAGCGTAACAAAGCACTCAAGAGTGGATGGTCATCACACTAATATATATATATATATACACTGTATTATGCCCTGAGAAGCAAGTAAGAAAAAACATTCTGATATGTTTAAAAAATCTGACCTAAATAGTTTTCTTTTGTTTATGACTTAAGAACAGGTGCAATCATTTATGCTTGCAGTTGATCAGTGTGAGTTGATGATGATGATGATGATGATGATGATGATGATGATGGGGACTGATTGAATTGTCTGCAGGTCTCTGTGCTCTCTCTATCAACCACTCCAACTCCTACCTGGCGTACCCCGGCAGCGCCACCACCGGGGAGATCATAGTGTATGATTCCAACAACTTGGTAAAAAACATATAACACAAAGCACCTGAAATAATATGCTGCAGTCTGTAATCCTGTTTTTTTTCAGGGTGAACCCGTCAGCTGTTGGAGGACATTATGTCAGGGTGAAGCCGTCAGCTGTTGGAGGACATTATGTCAGGGTGAAGCCGTCAGCTGTTGGAGGACATTATGTCAGGGTGAAGCCGTCAGCTGTTGGAGGACATTATGTCAGGGTGAAGCCGTCAGCTGTTGGAGGACATTATGTCAGGGTGAAGCCGTCAGCTGCTGGAGGACATTGAGGCTAACAGCAGCTGTTTAAACCTCACTTTAACTCACAGCCTCTAACAGTTCATTTTATAAAACGGTCACAACATATACAACATATACATTTCCATAAACACGCCAACAAAAAATGTAATTATTTATTGATAACAAATTATTATTATTTTGCATTTCTTAAAGTTGCCTAGCAACACACATACGCTGTGAAGCTTTATTAAAGAGCAGGCTGTAGGTGAGAATCTAGTTTCCAGCTATCCTATTGAACCCTGAAATGTAGAGTACCCCAACGTTTTATGTTAGAGATGTATAGTAGGTTCCCCATCACATAGAAACTTCCGGATGCTAACCTGCATAAATTGGGCAATTTGCACAATTAGTTTCGTTATTAGCATTAGTTAGCATTATAGCCTATATGGACAATAGTTACAAAATGGCTTTGACTGATTGTGACAGTTTTGGAGTTGTTTTGGGGGTTATTGAGGATGCTGAATCCATTTCTGACATTTTCAGTATCAAAATTAGCAGTATTACCATGCAGAAAGTGGCCATATTTGTTCTCTCTGTAGGCTCTTTTGATGAATTCCAGGTCGATCTTGACGTTCAAGGGGAGGCAGACACACTTATTTAAATAATATTTTGATGGTAAATCAGTGTGTTCTAATTGCTTTAAAAGCATATTGAAGCCTCGATTGCAGAAGATCTGCTGATCTTCACTAAATCTTTATTGCTCAAGAAGTTTTCTCTATGTTACACAATAGTAGCACGTATTGTTAAAAAAATATGTTTTAATGTTAATATAGTTTCTCCCTCATACACAGAACAATAAGAACATATCAGCCCTATATTTTCCAATTCTAAACAAACAATGTAAATGAACATTTCGACTTTATACAATCTATATCAATAATTATTATAACAACAGCACGAGTTATAATAATTAAGAACTGTGTGTTGTGAGAAAAATGGTGTTATGAGCAGTAAATAAAATGTGTCGTCTTAAATGTTTAATTCTACTTCAATACTACACTATGATATAATAATATGTGATAAGAAGTAAGTATCCAACAATGATGTTGAAAAGACCAGAACCAGCAATTTTTATTTTTTTATTTACATATATATACATGTTTTGATAGAACTATTTCATTGTTGGTCTGCCATATTTTAAACAACATTATACTATAATGCCGGCCTGATCGTTTACTCTTTAAACAATTCTTCACAAAGAGTCTGGTATTATTGGTTTGACATTAGAAATATTTTACATAAACTTCTTCATCAACAAGCACATTTTCTTCTGGAAATTAAGAATTAAAATGTCACTTTTTTTATTTGATGCCTCGTCATGGAAATAAACATTTTGCAACTTGGTGGAAATACAGCCAGTGTTAGAGACATTAACACATCAAATCAAACAATGTCCTTCTTTCAGAACACAGTGACCATGATCCCGGCTCACGACAGTCCTCTGGCAGCTCTCAGCTTTAACGCCTCGGCCACCAAACTAGCCAGCGCCTCAGAGAAGGTAAAACCGCTATCAGACCCTGTGGGACACGGCACCTTCAGCTCCAAACACCTCAGTCCTGTGAGGGCTGGTGAAGGACCAAAAACAATGAATCCTTGCTTAGTGACGACTTCCTGACATTTCCTTTTACCCCATCATCATGAGCTTTACACTCTCTTTTTGCCATCCTGACATCAGCCAAACTAATCTGTTAGTAATGGCGAAATCATTAGTCCATGGTTTATTTCTGCTGATGACATTGTTTCAGATACAGAGGCGTTTTATGGTTGAAAATGTTTATGGGCTATCAAATACTTTAGATAGATGCGAAAAGAGAAAAAACATGAAAACAATTAGCTATTTGACACTTGACTCAGTAACATGTTCACATTTCTTTTGTTTTCATCTAACTGTTGCAATGCTCAGTGTCTTCGTTTATAACCAGTTAGCAAATAGCCATATCTTCCTGAAAACACTCAATTTGTTTACTAGCGGTTTGGCTTATACATATGTGCTTTGCGCCAAAGTGTTTAATCCAAGTGTTTCGAAAAAAAGCTCACTTTCAAACATGTGCTAAAATAGATAATTCAAATTAATTGTAGATGGAATCTTCTCTAAATAAAATGTAAACTCCTGACAAGAACAAGCACACATCCACAACAGTGCTTGGCACCAGTCAGCATCACATTCTAACATGCGGTTTTCCATCACTCTGGGCACTTGACACTGGGGGGGCTGTGATGGAAACTTTTGAAGTTAGCGGCCGGATAATCGACAAGACATGTGCTGCCGCCACGAGGTGACACTGCGGTTGCCAAACCAATTCTGAAGAACTCTTCTGCAGCTCGAGGTTTTAACTAGTTTGGAGTAATAATCAACATTCCTCATCAGCAAAACTAAACAATTATGGACCCTGAATCTAACTAGAGCTCTCGTCCATAGAAAAGAATGTGCTTGAACAGTAAACTACCTCATGGCGGCTTGTGCTCTGTGATAGACTGGCAACAGCAATGCGCCCAAGCTGAGAGATAGTAGCAATACCCAAGGCCGTAGAACTATGCCACGGGAAAGGAGACAGTGAAGAGAGAAAACGATGAACTGGGTCGAAGGTTGAATATCAAAGCTAATTATTCCCTAACAAGGGCTATCCAATAACAAAACTAGGTTATGCATTAATCCAGAATTGTATTCGACTCTAAGGCTTTGCCTCACATCCCCCAATGACCCAATACATCACGTTACATATAAGATTGTAAGAGGAGGGACGCCTGTGCTAGAACATGATGTAAACCAAAGTAAAGATGATGCATCACCGGCTGTCTGTCTCGCAGGGAACCGTCATCAGAGTGTTCTCCATTCCTGAGGGCCTGCGTCTGTTCGTGTTCCGCCGGGGTATGAAGAGGTCAGTGCTTTAAACCTACAATCATACAAGATCTGCACTCTATAAAAGAATCACACTGTCCAATGCCAACAGCCACACATATTAACCAAACTAAATAAACTAGATCATGGTCAGAGGTTTCCGTCACTATAGCCTACTCCAAGAGATTTATCAACTTCAAATTATTGATAGATCCTCAAGTTGTTGTGCTGTGGAATTGTGTGTGTGTGTTTTGTCTGTCTGTCTGCAGGTACGTCAATATAAGCTCCTTATCCTTCAGTCCTGACGGTCAGTTCCTCTGTGCATCCAGCAACACAGAGACGGTGCATATCTTCAAAATGGATCAACTGGGACCAAGGTGCGCACACACACACACACACACACACACACACACACACACACACACACACACACACATATACATATACATATACACACACACACCTTGAGAAAGAAAACCTTTTTTTTCACAGGCCTCATTGAAGAGCCAAATTGATATTAAAACACCTGTTTACATAGTCTCACACAAAGTGTGCATAGTTGAAGTCTCATTTATCCAGTTGTGTGCTCACTACTTCACTAGGGTTTCTATTACTATGTAAAACCCTTCTGCATGTGAAATGTGTTTGGAAGGACATGAGCTGGATAGATGAGATCTGGATAACACTGAATATGCTGTTTGAGAGCTTTTAAAGATCATTCTCCATTTCTGGATTCTCAATGGAGGCATGCAAGAAAAAATAGGTTTTCTTCAAGAATTCAAGGTGAGACAGAGTAAATAATATACAATTTCCATTTTTGGGGTGCAGTATTCCTTTAATCCTTTGTGTTGTAGTTCTGGCCACTAGTTATATCATTTTCGATAACATTGTACCGACCAAAGTATAAATGCCGTTTATGATAAAGCCTTTTTGCAGTGGAGGGGACGAGGCGGCCACCTGGACAGCCTACGTGGGGAAGATGTTCTCAGCAGCCAGCAGCTACCTCCCGGCTCAGGTCTCGGGCATGATGAGCCAGGACCGGGCCTTTGCCATCGTCCACCTGCTGACATCCGTCCAGAGGAACGTCTGCACCATGGCTATGTGAGCTGCTCTCTATGATCAGTTTGCATTGCACTCAATTAGGGGTGCAACAACTAATCGACTTAATCGATTAAAATCGATTACCAAATTAGTTGGCAACTAATTCAGTCGTCGATTCGTTGGTGACGTCATCACATGTGTTCTACACCCCGTTAAGCTCCAACGTTATCGCTCTTAATGTATCGGTACAGGAGACATTTTTAAAAACATATGTTATGTATTATTGCTACATAAACATTATATCGCAGTCTTAGTGTTGCCAACTCAGTTTCTAATATGCAATATGACTACAAAATGCGTCTATAATGTATTTTCGATCTTCCGAATTCAGACGAGCGATCTCTCCCCCGCCTGCTTGCGAGGGGGCGGGGCAGTTTACACACACACGCAGGAGATGGCNCGTCCACCCAGTGAAAACATCCCCACTACACCACTGGTAGTTGTAGTACACCAACATGGATTAAACGTGTGGTTTTTTTACCACAATGTGGGGAAATAAATGGATAAAATGCACGGATTATTATTATTATTATTATTATTCCCACTCCGATCGGGACACTAGGTCCACCGTTTCCCCGCAGCGAGGCTCCCCCCGTTGACAGTTTACGTGGGCTGGGCTGGGTGCAGTGGCGGACTGGCCATCGGGACGAATCCCGATGGGCCGGTACCGAAGTGGGCCGGTCGGATAAGTCACTAGCACATCACCCATTCCCCCCGTTGACAATTTACTAGTGGTACCGAAGTGGGCCGGTCGAGAGTCCCGGGCTGATTTTTAGTCCCAGTCCACCACTGGCTACATGACCGTATGATCGCCCATATTGACGCACCTAATTCCTAAACTTCTAACAGATACAAAATAAACCAATCCTTCAGCCTCATATGAGCTCTCAGACACGTTCAAAATTAAACTGTCATCGCTGTCTGAGCTTGCTGCTGTGTGCGCCATCGTGCGTTTACATGCAGATGCTGGGATCCTGAACGGTGCAGCTGGAGCGCTGTGCCCGCATTGACGTCACCCATAATTTGGCGGGACTTGAAGAATCCCCGAGAAGATCCAGGAAATGGTCAACATTGAAGGGCAGATTAATGGTTATCAAAGTACAAATATCCAAAATCAGTTCAGTAACGGTTTTCAAGGGGACAATATTTACTCAAATTGATGGGTTTGGATGATGGGGGAAAATCGTGTCACAGGCTCTTTAAGGCAATTGTTATTTTGCATTGTGAGAATTGCTACCATTTGTCTCTACATATTGTCTGTAAAAACTTGGTAAAACTGGTTCTTGCAGTGAGATAACCCAACAGCATGACACTACAGTTGCACTAAGTTCTGATAGCAGTTGAATATTATTTTAATAATCACATATATTTTAATGTTGATTAACTGCAGACTGTTCATTCATAATCTGATTATGTTTGTAGTACAACGTGATGAACTAAAAAAACACATTAAAATGAAAAACTATTATTTCTACAGCCGCTTAATAAACAAACACACCTCTTTCATAAATAACACACTTGCTCTGCAATAATGTCTCTTGTCATTTTTGTTAGGAAAGGACATACCTGAAAAGAGAAAAGCTGATATGAGATTAAAGACCAATACAGGATATTCACTAAGAAACTGCACATTTATTGTGAACACAAAGATCTGCACACTGAATAGTGTGTATTCAAACAGGACTATCATTTGTTTGTGACAGCTGTGCCCAGTATGGGCTCACAGATGCAGTTAGGTGGTTTCTTCATCAGGTCACGTCCTCCTCCATCAGGCCTGGTCCTCCTCCCAGGGAAAGACCGCTCCACCTCAATCCTTTCCAGCCAAACCAACAGACAGGACATCCGTCACGCTGAGGTTTCTCCCAAAGTCTCTGCGGCTCTCTTGACACCACGCTGTCTCAATTGATCCACACTGTGAATATGAGGGGAAAATGTGTGTAATAAATGCTTTAGACAAAAATAAATATGAAGTTAACTNTGTGTGCCTTGGCAGTCTCAGTTTAAATAAACAATACTATTACTGTATTTTAATATCTCACGTCTGAAAGCTTAATTTAAAAGAAGAGGCCCCAAAAATAAAGATTGGTATATCAATAAATGTAAGAAAGTAAAGTAATTGTTCTTTGTTACTTCCGTTTCATTATAATGACTTCCGTTTCATTACAATGACTTCCGTTACAGCAATAATCCCCCTCACACACATAGGTGAAACACATGCACATTCCCTACTGAGAACCTTTCAGTAAAAAAATGTCAGTTGCGTGTGTGTGTGAGGTTAATTTTCAGTAGTGTGTGTGCGAGGTGTTCAGTAGTGAATGTGAGAGTATTTCAGTTGTGTGTGTGTGCAAGGCCAGATGTTTTCAGTAGTGTCTGTGTTAGGTGTTCAGTAGTGAATGTGAGAGGATTTCAGTAGTGTGTGTGTGAGGTGTTCAGTAGTGAATGTGAGAGGATTTCGATAGTGTGTGTGCAAGGCAAGATGTTTTCAGTAGTGTGTGTGTGAGGTGTTCAGTAGTGAATGTGAGAGTAATTCAGTAGTGTGTGTGCAAGGCCAGATGTTTTCAGTATAGTGTGTGCGATGTTAGTTTGCATTTTGGCCTACACGGCCCCTCATAGCAGGTGCTCAAGCCCCCTTGAAAGACTATCTGTGCACATGCTAGTACCGCAGTGGTTCTACTTCAAGCTACTTCTGCATGTTCAAGCTTCTTAAACTGCTTCTAAGAGTAATCCCAACCCTCTATTGCAAAACCCCAATGGTTCGAAACATATCCTGTTGGGCCAATTGCCATTTCTCTGACAGCCGGTTACTCGAAAAAACTCAAGGCTATTGTTCCGCTCTGAAATAAACACTTGCTGCAACAAACATAAGTAAACTGCTAATTATTATGCAGAATGACGGTGAAGGCATGGGCTGGCCTACCCTGCTTCATATTGACTTACCATACTATTCTAACCCTAACCAATCTCACTTATCGTTCCTAAACCTAACCAATAAGGCAATGAGTCCCTGCCAATCAGAGGCAGAGTAGGGCAAGTCATGCCTACGCAATAATAGCACAGTTTATATTTTAGGGTGCCATCATTGTAACAATGGCCTTTTTTTTTTTCAACAGACTATTGGACAAATTAGCTTTTGGAGCAATAGGACATTTTTCAACTCGGTTTCGAGACAATGGGCAGTGTCAAGCCCTGTCACCATACAAAAAACCTCTTTCCGCAACTTGCACCATGTGTGATTAGTCAAAGCTTATATGTGACCTGCTCTATCGAAATCAGTCGCATTGACCCGAAGAAACATTTTGAGTTGTATACACTGCTGGAAAGAGGATATTCCTAGCTTTCTAATGATATCAGGATTGTTATTGTACGTACCATAATACTTATGTAAACGGGAGGCCAGGACCCGAACTTGACACGTACTCCCTGACCATAACAATTGTACCAGTATACAGACAAGAACCTCTTCCGGTTCAAAAAGAGTCCACCCATGAACCACGCCTTTCTCCAACTCTGTGGTGACTGGAGTCGTCATAATTAAGTTGACTTTTTCATTATGTTTTGTAATTAATTACAGTATTTACTATATAAATTATTCTATTAGTCTTTATCATTTATGGTCCATTTCGTTCTCAGGTTGTTTATAAAACCTCGCGTGAAGGTAGTTGATGATTTGTATCACTACTTTATACTCATTATTATATTTAACTGAACGTTTTAATAACTCTAATTTATAAACGAGTGACAGGTGGATCGGTTTCGGATAATTTTATCAAAAAAAAGCTACATAAAAGCAAAGCAAAAACCATTAACACCGTCCCGGTGTTTTTTTAAGCGAATCGAACGCTAATTTATCTATTTAACGTGTCGGGCGTTGTGTGTGTCTACTGTCGTATGTGTGAAACAACGATTGTGTCAAGACATGACAACTCGACAAATACAAGTCAATTAGACAAGAATACAACTTGGTACTTATGTAAATTAAACATCCATTAATACCCTGCATAAGACGAAAGTAATCGGTAAAAGGAAGTATGAAAGAACGCGGCACTTTATCCAGGCATTTAAGATAAGTTCACCAGAATTTTTCCAAGAATTTTCTCAGAATTTAACTCCGCTCTGGACGTCCTTGGGCCATCGTCATTCGTATTTATCTGTGCGTCCCAGGACAATGTAAACAAAAGTAAGACTAAAGTATTGTTTCGAACCGAAAAGTCTTATACTTTGAACCAAAGCCGTTTAAGTCTACTATTATGTGAAACTTCGAACACTGCCGTATTATGTTCGCGCCCTCTTGCTTCCATTGAACTGCAATGTTCGGCCGTATTGTTGTCCGGGCCACAAAGAGCACCTCACAAAAGGGGCGCCTTCTGTTTGCGTTTAATGAGTGTTTGCGTTTTGCATGTGTTCGCCGTTTTTTATGTCTTGTGCATATGTGCGCTCGAGGGGGCTGTGTCATTAGGCGTCTTGCTTTTATAGGAAGGGAGGCATCATAGAAACTTAGTAAACGGGAGGCGATTATTAGTTAGTCTAGCCTACCTAGTCCTTTCTCTTTTGAAACGTTCGGAAAAAGAGTTTACTACTGAGCCACGTCAGTAAGTATTTACACTGTCCTACATAAAGACGAAT